CTTCGGCTCCCCTCTGGGAGCAGCGAGCCCTCTCCCCCACCCCCTGCCCGCCCCGCCAGATGAACCGCTATCGATTGCGTTGTTGATTAAAAATCTATCGCGATGACCCCAGACAGCAGCCGCACATAATAAAATAATCTCGGCAGCTTTAAAAAGGAGGCACATGGGGCGCGGGAACCCCCCCAAGGCGCGGAGCGCCCGGGCTGCAGCGCCCGCAAAGTCCGGCCCGCCTGAACGCCATGGCCGGGAGGGAGAATTTACCCACCCGGCCACGGGTTTGTCAGATTTTGCAAACTCTTTCCTCCCCCCCCAGCCCCGCCTCATCTCTCTCTCTTTTTTTTTTTTTCTCCTTTTTTTTTTTCTTTCCACGAAGCAGTTATTTTTTAAAAGTCGTGGTCTGCTCTTTCAAATAGTCCGCTGAGCTGCTCAGCATCACAGCGGGCTGGGCTGAGCGATTCGTACCGAAGAGTTTGCTGGAAATCAGGGCATGGGGATTCACTGCCTGTTTTTCCCTTGGAATTAAAAAAGAAATAAACATATATCTGAATTTAATATTGTTATCTCCATTGCATTATACTATCAAAACCTATTACAGGAACCACGTTGAATAGAGGAAAATAAATTCCTCCAACCCAGAGTTGTTTTTTTGCACTAGATTAGCAGATAGGAAATGCTATAAAGATGAACTTAATACGATTAGAGATGTTTCCTACAGATTTTCATATATTGATTCAGGGAATTTTAATTCTGGAGCTTGCTTTGCTATAATCCGCATTTATTACAAGCTGATATAGTTTTATTATAGCAAGCGATCAAGGTCGATTCCTTTAACAGCATAATCTGACATGAATTTCATTTTTAAAGAAATGTAGTTATAAAAATCCATACTGTGGGCACAGTGGTTTTATTGTACCTAAATCATATTTTAAAGGCAATAAATCCGCAGAATGTTTAGGAGCAGAAGGGAATATGGATACACGGCTCCCCTGCACACACAATCCCAACTCCTTACAAGAGCCCTCAAACTTTATCTGTGTGTATATATATACACACATATATAAATTCTGCATTTTTAGAAGGTAGATAAGGATGGCAGGTTCACATCCCCTCTTCAGATCGCCTACAGCAAATGTGGCCCTACAGGTTATACAAACTTTTTAAGGTTTCAGTTAAGTCTCTTCCTCTAACAAAACCGTAACGACCCAGGATACACTTGCGCTTTCCAACCACGCGCTGCGATTGAACTGCGATTTAACTAGCCTTAAAACGCTAAATTACAACTCACACGCTGGCTTGAGAAAGAGGGGAAAAACACCCCGTAATTCGGAATGTGCCGATCATAAAAAGGCTGTCCCGTGATTAAAACACCTCGCGACGCCCTCGCCGCAGCCCCCGACCGCGGGGCCGCTGCTCGTGAGCAGATCCCCCTGCGCCAGGTACTTCCTTCAGCCCCGCCGCGCTGCAGAACACAGGGAATAAGCAAAATGATCATAAATTTCCTAATTAGAGATTTCGCACCAAGACAAAAAGGTGTTAATGAGTTTAATTCCAGTGCCTGTCATTGTCCCTTTTTTCACACCACTTATTTACTAATGGCCCAGAGGGCTGCTCCCGTCTCTCCTTTGTTAAGATTTTAATTTGCCTTCTTTTCTGCCTTTGATGTAAAATTGTGACCTACAACTCTTTGAAGTCCCTTATTAGGAGGAAAATTAACTTAGCTTTTCCACTGTATCTACCCACTGTTAGCCCAGACAAAATGTGGAGAGAGCTCCTTAAAGATTCAGTATATTAGGAAATTTTCTTCAGTGTAGCTGTGGAAATGCAAATGTTAAAGAAAAAAATCTAATAGACTTTTAAATCTATATTAGGAGATGTAACCCTTGCCAGGGCCGCGGAGGGGGAAGGGAAGGAGGGAATATCTTAATAAAGAAAGCAAAATGAGCCTGGGATAGGAAAAGCTGTAAATTTCAAAACCTGGAGAGAAAAATAGAGAGGAAAAAAAAAAGTAAGAAAAAAAGAAAAGGCCGGGGATGGGGGGTGGGGGGAGGAGAGGAGGGAACCTTTATTTTTAAATAGCACAACTTTTTCCTGTGCCTCTCGTGTGCCGTTTCCAGCTGACACCCTAGCTTCCTATGCCTTGGCTTGGCTGGGTGGGGGGAGGAAGAGGGGGGTTAGGGAAGAAATTATATCTAAATCTATCTTGGGATAATTAGAATACCATGAGGCAGGGTTAAACCTTTGTAAAACACACAACTGATTGGCGATTGCTAAAACGAGATTTGAAAGCAACTCAAATAAAAGATCGCGACGTCAGTAAACAGATTTAGAAAAAAAAAAAAAAAAAGGCAGGGACAAACCCGGCGAGAGCAGCTTCGGGCACGGGAGAGCGAGCGAGGGAGAGAGAGGGAGCGCGAGAGACTTAAAAGAAATAGGAGGGGCTTGTGGGAGACTAGAAATGTCAATCAGAGCCCCGAGTCCCAATAATCTCGGGCAATCTGTTAGGACCTGACCTGGGTCCACTCAGATCAATAGGGAAAGTGGGAGCAGCGAGCGGAGCGGCTGCCCCGCGCGGCGCCCCGCGGGGCCCCGCGGAGCGGAGCGGAGCGGCTGCGCGGCCGCCCCCATGACTGAGAGCTGAGAGGTGCGCGCTGCCGCGCAGGGAGCAGCGCAGGAGGCAGCGCGAGGAGGAGGAGGCAGCGCGGAGGCAGCGCGCGGGCGGG